ATTTAGAGAAACACTATGATTTGTTAATTCTCAGAAAAAATCCATTTCACAGAACGATACCCAATACTGTGTAGACATACCTGAATTCACACAGTGAGTCTTTCCCCCCCCACACACACATTATTAAAATCTGCTCCACAAGGTTTCCCAACTTTATAGGACAAGTTGAGAAGCATGGAGGGCTTTGCTCCAATAACAGGTAAAGTCCAATAAATGGACAGACACAACAGGAATATGCTTATATAACAAAATAACCAATTGTTATTTTCTGGATACAAGATTAAACATATATATCATCTGCTTCAAGAGAATATCTAGTAGGCAAGGGAGAAATACTACCAAGAAAATATATATATATATATATATATATATATATATATATATATATATATATATATAGTGTGTGTGTGTATATGAGACACATTGTGGCACTTAGGGGCACACCCATGTTCGGGCTGGCTAAATGGCTAAGTCAAAAGTTACAACACCTAGTGGAAGATAACACAACCACTGTGAAATCCTCACAAGAATTCTTACAGAGGCTAAAGAGAATGAGGATACGGGATGATGAGATTATGATCTCATTCGACGTAACATCGCTATTCACGTCCATCCCGCAAGAATTGGCTATGACGACCATAAAAGATCTGCTACAACTGAAAGGACTACGGAGTCAAAGTCCCCTTGGGACAGAAGATGTTGTCAGGTTATTACGGCTATGCTTGAAAACGTATTTCATATTCCAAGGAACAATATATGAACAAATTAAGGGCACGCCGATGGGATCCCCCATTTCGGGGGTCATTGCGGAGGCGGTCCTACAGTGTTTGGAAAGCAGGGCCATGGCCGACTACCAACCAGAGTTTTGGGCCAGGTATGTGGACGATACTTTCGTCATCGTCAAACGGGCAAGAAAAACTGCCCTTATGGAGAAACTCAATTCAATATCACCGGATATACAATTCACAGCAGAGGAGGAGGCCAATGGCAGCTTGGCCTTCCTAGACGTTTTGGTCACACGTCAAATCAATGGTGCCCTCCATACGACAGTGTATAGAAAAGCCACTCACACCGACAGGATGTTGCACTATATGAGCAATCACCCAGCAGCCCATAAGATCTCATGCATTAGGACATTATTTGCACGTATAGACACGCACTGTAACACCAGGAGGGCTAAGCAGAGGGAGCGTGCACATCTTTATCTAGTGTGTAAGTGGAATGGCTATCCAACTAGCTTCATTCGGAGATACAGCAAACGTCAAGAACCCCGCAGGGCACCGAATGATCCAGGGACAATGGCCCGAACAACAATACCATATGTCCAGGGAGTATCGGAAGCAACAGCGCGCATATTGGCACCTTATAATATTAAAGTTGCTCACCGGCCTGATCAAACACTCCGGATGAAAGTCATGCGCCCTAAAGAGCCATTGCCAAAGGAAGAAAGATCAGCGGTCCTATACAGAGTGCATTGCAAAGACTGCCAATGTAATTATACGGGGGAGACAGCCAAACGAATAAAAACTAGGATACATGAACATAAATTGGCTGTCAGAAGGCAGGAGCAATACTCTCAAATATGGACGCACATGATTAATACCGGACATTCTTTTGATTTCAAGGAGGCAGAAGCCATTGCCCAGGACGCCTCCAAAGGAGGACGTTTACTAAAGGAGGCCTGGTTCTCCAACACAGACTCCATCAACCGATGTATAGAACTGCCCTCGGCGTACCAGGCACTAAGAGTGCAGGAAGAGCATGTCAAGAGACGGATGCCGATTGTCAGAGGCGAAACCAGAACTGGTGTGGGGGGGGGTATTCACCACATGACTAGACATAGGGAGGATCCCATAGACACATCACAGGTGGGGACAGATAAGGGAACATTAGGGTCACAAACAGATAAGGGTAGTAAAGGAAGAGGAGGTGGATATGATGGGGGATTGCAAGGAGAGGGGGATCAGGGAAGACTCTTGGGAACAGTGGAATTGATCTTACGGCCCAGAATACGGGGGAGGGGTATGCCTGACCCCAGGGGACTGATCAAAAGAGAAGGGGAGAGAGAAAAGATCAGAAAAGATGAGGCACGTAAGATTGGAAGCATATTCACGGATGGAGAGGGGATATTTGAGAAGGGAGTAAGAATGGAGGAGAATAGCCAGAAACAGCAGGTAGAGCTGCAGATTAGAGGGGGGGAGGAAATAGGAGAGGGTGGGGTGGATAGGAATGGAGAAGGGCAGGCAGGAATAATAGGCAGGACAGCAGTTTTTTTTGGGGGGGGGAGTTTGGGTAGGAGAGTCCAACAGGAACTCAGGTTGGTAGATGGGAACAGTACATAGGACAGCAGGTAAGGGAAGGAAGAATGCTGGAAGTAACAGCAAACAGAGCAGTGGATTGGAGAGAGGGGGAGGAAACAGGAGAGGGGGGGACTGACAGGAAAGGAGAAGGGCAGATAAGAATAGCAGGCAGGACGGCAGATTGGGGGGGAGGAAAGCTTGAGAAGGAGGGTTTAACAGGAATGGATGTTGGCATGTGGGAACAGCATGTAGGACGGCAGGTCAGAGGAGGAGGAATGCTAGAAAAGAGAGGATGGACAGAAATGGATGAACAACAGGCAAGTCAGCAGATGATGGGGAGGACCTTGGAGAGGGGAAGATGGACAGTGGGGGAGGAGGGTAAACAGGAACAGCAGATAGAGCAGCGAATCAGGAAGGAAAAGATATTGAGGAAGAGAACATCAATAAGAAGGGTCGATGAAAGGCAGGAGCAATATGTTAATCAACAGGTGGGAGGGTTGAAGGAAGGGGGGGAAGGATGATAGGAATGGATAACAAAGGGTGCATGAATCGGCAGGCTGGGAGAGGAGGGGGGTTGGAGGAGGGAGTTGAAATAGAAACCAGCAATGGTATGCAAAAACGGCAGGCAGATCATCAGCTCAACAGGATTCGAGTAGTGCCGAGTCGGAGGAGGCTCCTTGCATTGGATAAGGAGGAGGGATTGGAGAGTGTGCTAATGATAACAGCGCAGGGAGGGGGAGACAGCACAAGGATGACAAAGCAGGAAAATACAATGTTAGAGTGCAAAAAAGAGAGGGCGGAACAGGCAAGGCAGTCACAGGCAATCAGGAAGAGTGGCCCTGTCACGAGGGCAATGAGTAGGCAATTGGATCAGCAAGGGGATAAAAAGAACTTCCCACCCCCTAAGCCCCACTCTGAGGACGCTGGCAGAGGACCAGCGAAAGCTAAGTTGTTTTAATTCTTGTATATAACTGTTTTTATTGTTTTAAATGTTGTTTTAACAATAAATAACTGGAGTATACTCTTCCCGGAGATCGAAGATTGCATCACTGAACAATATGCCTGGGATTCGTATATTTATAACTATTAAGGACATATATATATATATGGTACAAATAAAATACAAACACCAGGAGAGTATAAATATAAAAATATACTTTACTAAAAGCTGCCAAGCTTTCGTTTGGAAACTTCAAACATCATCAGGGCTAAGGAGCCAGTAAACAATGATGACTTAAATGGGTTTTGCCGGCATCTGCAGCCGGCTCATGGACCGCGTCACCGGTCCCGGCCGATTAATTAGTGTTCCAGATGTTTCTTTATTACTCTCCTTACGCTTCCTTCTATGGTTCTTCCGGATCATTCCTTCTACTATCTCATTACTGGCATTCATCTTCTCCACCACCCCTTTATCCTTATTTCCTTCCATAGTACTGAATGGATAAAGGAAATAAGGATAAAAGGGTGGTGGAGGAGATGAATGCCAGTAATGAGATAGTGGAAGGAATGATCCGGAAGAACCATAGAAGGAAGCGTAAGGAGAGTAATAAAGAAACATTTGGAACACTAATTAACCAGCCAGGACCGGTGACGCGGTCCATGAGCCGGGTGCAGATATAGTAAAGTATATAGTAAAGTATATTTTTATATTTATACTCTCCTGGTGTTCGTATTTTATTTGTACCATAGACATGCCCAGGAGTCGTATTTTTATGCAAATTTTCCAGCATATAAAATTGGAAGTTAATAGTTTCCTTTAAAAGGAAGAAACAGCTATGACCACACACTGCTCCTAGAAGCAAGAAGCTGAAAACACCAGCCTGAAGATGACGAATGGGACTTCGTCAAAACGTCGCCAAGACACTTCCAATTTTATGCGGGAGAAAACCCAAATAACCAAAGACCTATATACAAATACCCGCGAAAACCTCAGAAAACAAATACACACACACACACACACACACACACACACACACACACACACAGAGTCTTTTCTCTACACAATCCTACTCTGTATTATGATATACAATATGAGCTAAGGCCAACTTACATTTTAAGAAAAATATTACATGTTTATTCAGCAAGTTTATTCACGCATACTATAGAGAGTGATAAGGAAGATAGAAGATACAGAATTGTTTGAGGATGAAGTACTATAAGAGGGCAGGAGTAACTTATTTTTACCCTATTGGCCTCTCCAGAAAAGCTGTTCAAGTAGATTCAAGATCTGATGCCAGAGTTGCAGTGCTGAAGAAAGTATTAGCCAGCTGTGCAACACATAATCAAGGGATTTCAGAAATTAAGAACTACATTTTAACCTTAACCCTGCCTTGTGCTATTGAAACACTTTCAAATAAATTTCATCCTGGTCATATAGCATATATCTGCAGGATTTTGTTTTTGTCTTGCACAGGGTATGTCTGTATTTACATTATTTAAGCTCCATTGCATGGTTTTACTTTTTCATATATATTGTCATGTTCTCATGCTTGAATAAATATAGCTACAGTTAGCACAATTATTATTTGATTACAGTTAGATAATTCCTAATCAAGTTTTAATTCTCTGTAATTAGTACTTCTAATAGTTTCTCTTTTGAGCTAGAGTACATGTGACTGACATGCTTTGCTAGAAATGTATTCTACTAAACACATTTTTTTTCCTGGGCTCTTCTATTGAACTAAACAATTATCCCCATACCTTCTTCTTGTTAGCAGGGCAGATGTAGAAATTTTCAATGACTGTAACAATTCCAGGCTGTAAGTTTAATTTGGTATATAGTGTTCCAAAATCTGATGACCTGGGAGACAAGAAAAAAAACAAAAGTGGTATTTTGATGATCTGCATGTATTTTCAACTTTAAAAGATAACTGAGAAGTGTTCAGGCCACGAATTATATATTTGACAATTGAAATAAATACCAAAATTCATGAAAGCAGGAAATCAAAATGATTGTAATATTGTTTACAAAATATCACCTCTGAAAAATAAAAACATTTAATTTATCAGAAGAAAGGTAAGTTCTACAACAAAGAATAAAATTTACCAAGCATAAGTATAAAAAATAAACCCCCCTAAAAAGATTTTAAATCTAGCTATCACACAAAACATTTTAATTTAAGTGCTACATTCAAAATGAACAGTTAGAGAGACTTCTAATTTAAAACATACAAACAAAAAACACAACTTTACAAATAGTAAAACAAAAAATAAAACAGTTGGTCTTTAAAGGCTTGGCTACAAAGATCTGCTTTACAGGTTTCCTAAAAACCAAAAGAATGAGAGCTAAACTCAACTTGTGATTGCATTTCTTTTCTTTTTCACAGCTTTCAATTTGCAGAATATATTGTCACTAATTGTAAAATAATACAGAAATATATTATTTCATTCACTGTTCTAATTCACATAGAGTATGGAGAACTTCAATTATTTTTCCTTTTACAATATATATACAATTAATCAAGACATACAGTATATTTGTAAGGCACTTCGTAAAGGCAACTGAAATGTTATTTATGAAAACCTAGAGCAGAACTATATTCTGTTATTCTTTTTTACAATGTTATAAACTGAAAATACAATTACTAAGAAATGTGAAGGGACCAAGAGTCATTCTTCTGCAAGGAAACGGTTGCTGGAATTGGGTATGTCTAGTTTAATGAAAAGAAGGACGAGGGGTGACATGATAACAGTATTCCAATATTTCAGGGGTTGCCACAAAGAAGAGGGAATCAAGCTATTCTCCAAAGCACCTGAAGGCAGGACAAGAAGCAACGGATGGAAACTAGTCAAGGAGAAAAGCAACTTAGAACTAAGGAGAAACTTCCTGACAGTTAGAACAATTAACCAGTGGAACAACCTGCCTCCAGAAGCGGTGAATGCTCCAACACTGGAAGTTTCTAAGAAGAGACTGGACAGCCATTTGTCCGAAATGGTGTAGGGTTTTCTGCCTGAGCAGGGGGTTGGACTCGATGACCTTCAAGGTCCCTTCCAACTTTATTATTATTATTGTTATTATTATTATTATTATTGAGGTACCCTTCAGACTGTATCTGCTCTACCACCGTGTTTTCAATATAAAGCAGATTGCAGTGAAAACACACATTACGATGTTCCCTTCTCAGCAAAACAATGAAAATACTGAAGGTAAACAGCAAATATTGCTTGGATATCCTTCCAAACCAAACAGGTGCCACATATTTGATGAAGGTTTGAATGTGGTACTACACCATTTTACGGGAGACATACATTCATGTTAACTGAAAGCTTCCTTGAAAAATACTTAGAAAATGCTCTATGCTAATTCCAGGGATAGCACATAGAATCAAAGGGCTGGAAAGGACCTCAGTGGTCTCCTAGTCCAACCCTCTGCTCAAGGCAGGAGTCCTTATATTGTCCTGGACAAATGGAAAACATCCAGTGATGGAGTACCCACAACTCTTGAGAGGCAAACTATTAGATTGGTGAAAAAGTGGTGATCAAGCATTACACCATTCAGACCTAGGCCAGTTTAAAAACAATAATGTATTGCTGCATTTGTTAATGGATTGTTAAAAATGTATTAGACTACACTCACATAATTTCCAGACATCATATTAGTTTGAGTGCTGGTTAGCTGCTGTAGGTCTTGTAATCAAGCACATGTGGAGAATACAGCTTGCAGAAGACTACGGATCTAAAGCAACTCATGCCACCATGGATAAAAGTATGAAAAGACAGCTTTAATTGCAAAGTTGTACAAATTTATAATGTATCAATTTCATGGCCTTTGCTTTAAAAATGTCATACCTCACCTAACTATAAAACCAGTCAATCAAAGCCCTTGCAAAAGGCAATTTCTTTAAAACACATTATCTTTAGCATAATTTTTAGGATTTTTTTTTAAAACCAGCAAAGAAATAAAACTGAACAAAATGCAGTTATACCCTACCTTATAAAATTGCCTTTCAAAACACCTACAGATTCCTAATATATTCCTAAATTCAAAATTTATAATTTAAAAAGACATTGAATTGTTATGCTCAGCTGAATGTAACTGAAAGGAACTAAGAGGCTTTCTACCCAATATAAATCAGCTAATCCACTTGTCCCCCTGCAAACTCCTTGGATTCTTTTAGGCCTTTGGGAAACAAGAAAGAAAAATTTTAGACTATAAAAGGTACAATGCCTATACCATACGTTCAGCAGGGATCTCCGTAAGTGAAGACAAATGTAGTATCAGTGAAGTACTTAATGATCTTAAAATTATGAATTAAAATTATAAATATCTCAGAAAAAGTGACTTACAACTCTTCCTCAGTTACGACTGTTGCACCAAGCCCCAAGGTCATGCGACGTAATTCAGGTGCTTGGTAATCAGCTCACTTAAGATGGTCACAGTGTCTTGGGATCCCACAATCAACCGTCCCAGCTGGCTTCTGACCAGCGGAGTCCATTGGGGAAGCCAGAGTCAGTAGTGACCATGCAATTCACTTAACCACATGATTTGCTTAACAGCCACTGTGATCCACTCAATAGCTGTGATAAAAATGATCATAAAATCAGGTCTAGTCACTTAATGACTCACTTAATGATTGCATCATTTAGCAACTGAAACTCTGGTCCCAACTGTGGTCATAAGTCAAAGACTACCTGTATATAAGGCTAGAAGTCAGAAACTCTGTCACCAAAACGAATTGGCAAAATGTGATACAAATCTGCATGGAGGTTGAAAGTTAATATAGATGTAGAGTTGAAATTTGGAATGACAATATGGCGTATCTTACCACCATGAGAAAGAATATGTTCAGACAGCCTATTTTATAGACGCTGTTTGCTGTCCAGATGTTTGCTATGATTGATAATTTTATAGTCCTTGCATTTCTTCTTTTAGGATCTTTTTTTAATCTTTAAATCACCTTGAATTAATCTTCCTTTAATAGCACAAATTTCTATAATACTTGGCTATTCTAGGCTAGTGCTGATGAAAAATAGGATACACCAAGAAATGATCTTCTAATTTCAGTTCCAGTCCTCTGATTTGCAGAAGGAAAACTAGTTCTCTCTCTCTCTCTCTCTCTCTCTCTTCTTTCTTTCTTTCTTTCTTTCTTTCTTTCTTTCTTTCTTTCTTTCTTTCTTTCTTTCTTTCTCTTTCTTCCCTTCCTTCCTTCCTTCCTTCCTTTCAGATATTTAGTTTCTATACACTCTTTTTATTCTGACTAACAAGATTTGAAGGGGGATTTTATTCCTCAAGGATCTGAGAATAAATCCTAATAGAGTTTCCTCGATTTGTTTGCATTTAGATTTTGATGCAATTATGTAAAGCATTTACAATGAAAATGAATTCTGAATCCATTCAGGTAAAAGGCAAGATGTCACAAATGAAAGGACCACATTTGTTGGTGGGATCCTTAAACTTTCTCTGGAGGGAAAAGGGAACACGGGGGGGGGGGACTTGCACTAAATACAGACACTAAAGATATATTTGATTTTAGTTAATGATAGGGAGACTATCCTAATTGATCCTGAAATGGCTCATATAAAAATTTTAAACTCAATTATTCTATTTTAAAACCCAATAAAAATAGTTCCAGATAAATAATATATGCCAAATATGTCTGTGTGGGAAGATCATCATTATTTCTATAAATTTAGCTAAGGATGGTAAAATTGTGATTAATCAATAGTTTCTAATCAAGAAAGGTTTCTTTAATAGTGGTCTTATCACTGTCTGCTTTAGGGATGGAAGGACAGACCAAAAGCACTAATTTCCTTCTTACTGTGGATCTAGTCTTCTTCCAACCAATTTAACTAACCAGCATTAAACAAGCACAAGGTCATCTATATCTTTCTACACAAGCTTGTCTGAATCCTTGAGTTCTGTAAGAAGAAAAGAATTCAGACCAACAACTCAAATAGTTGCTATGGTTAAATCACTATATTCTGCTGCAACATTGGAAACCAAGTTGAGGTGGATCAAGCAACTCAGCCTGTAAAGAAAGAAGCCTCTGACTATCACTATGAGCTATACAGCAAGAAAAGATGCCGAGCTTATTGTCAGCAGATGCTGTGAAGAAAGAATTCTTTGTTGCTCCTATCACTATGGAATAGGGCTGCAAAAGATCATTAGTCTGTGTGAGACTGATACATAGCTACTATTCTTCTCAAGCTGCTGCTCTTTTGTTTTGGTTTCCTTAGCTTTCTGTTAACCATGGGGCATGCTCAGCAGTGACAGTTTTCACTCTCAAGGCTGTTTCCATAGTGGAGTCCTGGTACTCTGTGAGCTTGCTTGCAGATGTTTCATTACCCAAGTATGTACATCTTCAGAGCACTGATGTTACTTAATTGATAATGAAATATCTGCAAGGAAGCAACTGATCTGAGAAAGACCAAAGATTCTATAGGTCAATCCTGAGCTACATATATTCTCTTCTATTGTTTCCTTAGTCCATAAATCAGCCAATGTTTTGACAGTACCACTAAAAAGGGTGGAAAATTCTCAAGGAAAGTATTTGGATTCATAAGGAAATATGGGATACATAATTGCAACTATCCACTACCACTTTGGAGATAATCAGCAATGGACTGCCTAAAACATGATAACAAGAGTTACCAAGAGATCATTCAGCTTAATAGAGGTCCAGATCTAGAATATGCCCTTCTGCATTCATGAGCGGAGGCCAATTCGACACACGTCCATGGCTGCCTCAGAGGGCCTGATCTCCTGAGGTGTTCTTTTCTGAACAGGTACAGTGTGAATAATGAAGCCCAAAGTCAATCAGTGATCTGTAATTGTTTCCCCACGAAGGCTAGACTGAAATC